GGTTCTTTAGCATAGTTGGGATCTATTTTGGGTATGGAGACTAGATATGAGGTTGCAACTTCAGATTTAGGTTGGTTTGGAGCCAAGTGATCAGAAAGTGATAGCTTTGGGGCGTGATTGAGAGTGTCATTGCCTTAAACCTTCATTTTTAGCTTGTTGAAGCTTGTTGAGCCTTGCATGCACGTAAAGTTGGAAACTTTACGTGTGAATCTGGCCCTAGGAGTCTAGGTCTGTGTATTAAAAGCATTGGAATGGCCTGAAATCGTCTAGATGAAGATGTCACATTTGGACTTGGCGAGTCACATGGGTGAAATCACCGAGTAGTATGAATATATGCATGAACTCGACGAGTTGGAAGAACAACTCAGCGGGTCTGTTGAAGATTGCATTGGACTCGGCGAGTTTGTTCTTGGACTCATCGGGTCTGATCGTGAAGTCCTAACCTTTTCGGTCGAGCTGTGAATCGGTGAGTCAAGGGACGACTCGGTGAGTTGAGCAGGATGTGACTCAGAGTTTGTTGGACTCGGCGAGTCTTGGGATGACTCGGCGAGTTGAGTCATGGATTGGGAGTTTCTGAGTATAGGGACTCGACGAGTAAGAGGGTTAACTCGGCGAGGGAGTCAGTCAGGAAGGTTGACTTTGACTGAGGACTTTAACTTTGACCAAGAGTTGACCAGTTGACTTTTAGGGGTATTTTGGTAATTATTGGTATTGATTGAGTTCAGTGTTTTGGTATTGATCAGTGGTGGAGTTCGTATCGGAGGTGGGAGCAACGTGATCTTATCTTTTCAGTCATCAGTTGCGAGGTGAGTTATCCTCACTATACTAAGGGGCCTAAGGCACCAAGGCCGGCCCAGTGGATTTGATATCCTAGTATTTATTGATATGTTGAGTTGAGTTAGTAATGTATGCCAGTTGATATGCTAGTCGGGTAGATCTGTAGGACTACCTGTGATACTGATTGATTACGTGTATGTGCATTTATCTGTTACATGTCGACATGTTATGTGGGATGGGTTGAGGTTGTACTACTCCGTGCAGTAGCCAACAAACCCTAGAGTATTCCAGATATGAGCTGAGGGCCCGGTAGGCATTCCAGACTCATACTAAGGACTCGGGAGCATTCCAGATACGAGCTGAGGTCCCGATAGGCATTCCATACTCGTACTAAGGGCTCGATGGCATTCCAGATACGAGATGAGGGCCCGGTAGGCATTCCAGACTCGTACTGAGGGCATATGGGTAGTCCAGCTTGTAAAGCTGTGGACCCAATACATGTTGTTATGTTTTGGTTGATATGATATGTTAAAGTTAATATTGCTATGTGGACTGTATGCGTATCGGTATTTTGGGGGTAACTCACTAAGATTTCGGGCTTACAGTTTCAGTTTATTGTTTTAGGTGCATCAGAGGATTGTGACAGGGCAAAGGCGTGATCGTACAACTCCTCACTTTTTTAAGACTATGTTTCTGGGATACTCTGATATTCTGCATTTTGAAAAACAAGTTTGTAATAACTAATGGTTTTTGGGTTGTTTAAAAAGTTTTAAATTGGCTTGAATTTTACGGGTATTACATGAATTGATTAAAAATACTTTCCAGGAACCAGATGTTACAAGTACGCCTCGCGTACGCCAAGCTTACGCCCAACGTTCGGGTAGTCCAACAATTAAATACAAAGATATTAAATAGTTATTACCTCAAGTGACGGATGTTACACCTCATCTTTTCACGAAATGACAAAATTGGTCCAGTTTCGAAATGGTGACAAAAGTTGTGAAGAATGACAAAATTTCTCTTTTAGCCTCTACAGTTTTGAAATGTTGGCGGAAAATACCCAACTTCGAAAATAGGCTAACAATGCTGAGAAATGGAGAATTTTACAAGTTTAGTCACTGCAATTAGTGCGAATTTACACTTTTTATCCAGTTTCGCAATTGGGGGAATAATTCGCATTTAAAGTTGTTTTGGCGCAGCGGGTCCTTGCAAAATTCTGAAAGTGACAGATTTTACCCATATTTTGGAAAATCTTGCAACTCTCACCCAAAAATCGAAAATGTTTCCAAAATTGAAAACTTTATGAGGCTTTTTTCGTGATTGTTTTTCCATGCAAGATTTTAAAGGTTTCATTTTGGCACACATCAAGGGGGAGTTATGTAAAGAATAATCCCCGGGCGCTTCTCACCCTTAATGGGTTTTATAATCATTTTTTGTTTATAAAAAGGGGGAGAATAAAGAATGGGTATTCGAAACTTCTCGGGTTCTTCGGGTATTTATTTGTGGATTTGAAGACTGATATCATTTCGAGGGGGGTTTGATCTTGATCGCACGAGCTCGTTGGATATTGTAATTAGGATATCCAATCCTAACTTTGAGGGGGAGAATGTTAGGGTGCAAAGTCATGCTTGGATGTGGATTGTTTGGTGGCTTACCCTCTTTTATGTGTAAAGGGGCTGAGTCTTTCCTATAATTAAGAAATAAGTGACTCCTATTATGTAAAGAACTATTTGGAGAGCATTAGTTTTAGAGAGAGAAACTAGCAAACCCATTTGTACCCTTTCTAGTTCAACTAACGAGAGCTTAACAATATTTATTTACTCTATCTGTTATTGATTTTGCATGATGATTAACTAGATCTTTTCTTATTCCGCACATACCATCATAATCAACACCTCTACAATGAACAAAAGGCGAACTATTAATCATACATGAATATACCAAAAACTATTAATCATACATGAATATAACATACTATTTAAGTAAAAAGTTAAATATAATTGTAATCATAAATGAATAAAAATGTATTGTATAAACAATTATAATATACCTCTAATCACAAATGAATAACACAAAACAAAAAGAAATTACAATGTACAATTTAGGTATTTTCATTAATCTTAAATGAATAAGACACAAAAATAGTTGCAATGTAGAAATTGTGTTGTAGCTTATCCAATGAAGTTGATATTTTGATTTTTCTTTGTTGTCTATGATTCTTGTAGTCTTGCGGTTTGTATATTGCAACTTTTAATTTGCTACACATAATAAGTTTTTGTCTTTTCGTTTGATTACCTAAAAAAAGAAAACAAAAAAAAGTAAATTAGAAACAAGAACCCCTACATTGTAATTTAATAAGCTTTAGCTCCAACTCAAGATCCCACCAATTAGATAATCAATTACCAGGTGCATCATTTTCACAGGACTTTCAATTTATGGGTGCAACTTGCTCAAATATATTATTTTATAAATTTTATTAATTAATGGTTAAAGCTACAATCATAAATGAATATCAAGGTGGTGCTCCGCCGAAAAGAAAGTATGGATTTGAGGTCACCATTTGGCATTTCTTATCACTTTCCAGCATGCAGGTTGCAATGAAATAATTTTCTAGTTTAGGATACATGTATGTATATGGAGAGTGTAAACGTGTAACTCCACCACACCTGCATACTAAAAGCCATTATGAAAAAATCGACTTGTAAGATGAAAAAGAAGAAAATAACCAAAAAGTCATCATTTTTCTTAGCAAAATTGGGTGTACAAATCATAGTTCAAAGCTAGTAATCTTGCCTAGTCTATAGGTCAAACCAAAATGAGGGAAACAATTTAAGTTAAAAGATCAACAAGAACCCAAAATTGAAGAAACAAAAGAATCATAAAGAAGTAAACATTCTAAAACTTATCAAATTTCCTATCAACCCGAGCAACTTGCAAATCTATGCAACTTCCAGTATAGGATTACGATATAATAATAAGCACTATTATGCGGATTAAACAACAAAAGATGAATACATTGGAGCATACCCGATTAGTGAAAGTGAGACAAACTTTAACCCATAAACTATGAAATCATATGAAGCAATACCGAGAATCATTAAGAATTCGTCCTCTTGACACAAAAAGAGAAATACGATAATGAAGAAACTGAAAAATAGGAACGATCATCTCAAACAATACATCGACAGGTGAAACAACCTGTGGAATTACCGTGATTAACGAAGAGGACAATAAACTTACAATTCCATTGAAGATGATTGAGAATTCACGATGAATCGAATTTGGAAATCGATTCGTGATATGAACTCGATCGATTTAAATAGGATAGGATCAATGTTGGCGACATGTTAGTGAAGTGAAGATGCTTTGGTAGTTGTTGCTATGGAAAAACCGTGGTACATCGGAGTCCAGAGAGAGAATTGGATTTTAGATGCTAAATGTAACTATGCAAGTGCGAGATCGGAAGGTATATATGTTGCAGGCGGACCTGGTAGCCATGGTCGATTGCGACCAGACCCTAAGTGAGGTGCCAACTCCTTTTTTGTTGGAAAATGAAGATCAAATGAATCATGACAAGGGAGGGAAATGAAGACCAGGATGTAGATGGATTAGAAAATCTTAATCTGAAGTATAAATAAGGGAGTAGAAGTTGGGATAGATAAAGGCAGGTTGTGATGGATTATGTGCCAAGAACAAGGGTCGCCTCCCAAACACGCAAAACCAACATTCAGATATCAAGCCAAATTTAAGGAAATTGGATTTATATTATTTTCTTACTTACACTTACCAAAATTAAGCCATTTGAATTTACCTTAATAACCTTTGATGTATTTTTATTTACATTTTAAGATATTTAGTTTTGATATTTACAGAAATGACCCCTTACATATTAGCCATAGATCTAAGTAATTAGATGGTCGAAATTTGTTCTCGTTCTCAACCTTTCGAGTGTTCTTGATATAACCTATCTCTCTCTCTCTCTATATATATATATATATATATATATATATATATATATATATATATATATATATATATATATAACTCTTTAAAGATATACCCTAACCCAAAACCAACATAACAAAACTAACATAAAAATAAAATGTTCAAATAAGACGATAATCAATGGATCGAATTACTATAGCATTTCACATTCACATCCTCTGTAAGGAGAAAGGACGAAATATGTAATTTTACTCATGTGAAAAGACCCACCCTATGGACCGTAGTGCAAAAACCGCCCTTCAATTTCACATCGAGTGTAGAAAAGAGGGAGAGGACTGCCCTTCTGTATAAAAAGCAGCTCTCTTCTCCGATTCGAGGGTTAACCCAAACACATCCACCAACAGAACCCTTTTCTCTATACTCTTTGGGCTTCTGGGGCCTCATTTCTCTTACACATAAACCCTTTTACTCTCTTTCTTGATTTTCAATTTACTTTGATGTTTATGAATCCCTTGTTAATCTCTACACAACTAGGTCAATCTGTCCCGCCCTCTTGTTTTTCTGTATGATTTAATCGATTATCCTCGATTTGTTTGACTGTTTCATATCAAATTGATATTTTTTGTTTTGTTTTTGCAGTATAAAGGAGTGTAGAGGAGTAAAGAAGAAGGTTTGTGAATCTTATGGCGGGTACCCTAAGATCGAGCTTGCCGTCGAGGTTACGGCAGCTTTTATCCGGTGAAGGACCTATCGGTCCGAATGTTAAACTTGACTCCGAGACTGTAAGATTTTTGCCCCCTTTTAGTAATTCTTCGCTTCCGTGAAGTGTTTATGCGTGGTTTTATTGGGGGTTTCTTGTTTTTGGTGTTGAATTTGGTTTATTGGTTGAAGTTAGGGCTGCGTTCTGTTGGTGGTTATTGTTTCGAAGTTCTTATGTTGATAATTAATTAATTGATGTGGAGGTAGGGTACTCTGTGATTTAAATAACGTGACTAGAAGGGTTCGCCTTGCTACATATAGTAATTGTATGCATTCAGGTACAGTTTCAAGTGTCACTGGATCTACATTGTATTTAGGGTTTGTAGTTTTTAGGCTTACCAATTAAAAAAAATCAACAATTTGAGCTTTGATTCAAAAACTAATACTCTCCAAAAGTCCAAATGTAAATAGATGTGGACTTCCTTTCAAATGTTGTTGGAGTTATGCTTTTTCTTCCCTGGATGTTTTAAAATCCAAGTTTTAAGTACAAAAGTAACTGTGTTGTCGTTGATTCTTACTTGTGATGCAGTTACAGTGGCGTTTAATCATATTATCTGATATAGAACAACATCATTGAAAGATTTTGTGGGGTTTCTTGTAGTGTATGAATGTGATTGATTAATAAATATCATATTAGGGCTAGTTTTTGGGGATGCTTTTCTTTATAGCAAAATTATGACTTGTTAACTTCTGTGCTCTTGTTGATCCCTAGTTTATCCACAATCAAATTAGTAATTGTTGAAGCCATGATGAGTTCTAATAGCATGATCTAAGGATTACCTGTTAGTAGTTATATGACCCTTGTTTGTGTACTTTTGGAAGATATGAATGGGATGCATGTGCTTGAAGTAGATTTCAAGATTTTATGCGCATTTTCTACCCTTGTGTCATAAAATTGTTGCTTCAAATACTTTGCTTTACTGTAGTTTTGTATTCATTGGTTCTTTTATCTTGTTTCCTTCCTAAAGGGCTGCATTTTTGTTGAACTTTTTAAAACCTAATTCTTTTTGTAAGTATATATGCATCCTGTAGCATAAGATTATACACCACAATTGACATAGGTGTTACCCTGATATATTTAGGGCAACATAACGAAAGAGGGGAAATTCTTCATTTTGGTTCCTTTCATACAGGGGTTGGGGGATCATAATGTGGTATCTAATGAAAATAAGGCTATACTTATCAGTAGGATATTAGATTCTTGTGATGCTTGCAGAAGATTATTTATTCGCTTGTATTTTGTATTTCTCGTCTTTACTACGTTAACCGTGTCATTTTTTTGCAGCCCCCAAAAGTGAAGGCATTCATCGACAAGGTGATTCTGTGTCCATTGCAAGACATAGCAATCCCTCTTTCAGGTTTCCACTGGGAGTACAGCAAGGTGATAAGATCATATTCATACCCTTACCCTGTGCCACCTTTTGGGTTTATATACTGCCTGTAGTTTGCTTAACCATGTGATTGTTATCAGGGAAATTTTCATCATTGGAGGCCACTGTTTCTGCATTTTGATACATACTTCAAGACATACTTGTCTAGCAGGAAAGACCTTCTTTTAGCAGATCCTTTAGAAGATGATGCCCCTTTCCCTAAACAATCTGTTCTTCAGATTCTGCGTGTCATGCAAATAATTCTAGAGAATTGTCACAACAAAAGTTCCTTTGATGGTTTAGAGGTATATACCGTTGCTCTTTATCAGTTACATTGTATGATATGTATATATTTGTCTCTAAGGGTTGGTTTGTTTGTTCAGCATTTCAAGCTGTTGCTTGCATCAGCAGACCCCGAGGTTGTCATTGCAACCTTGGAGACTCTTTCTGCATTGGTGAAAATAAATCCCTCAAAACTTCATGCAAGTGGGAAGCTGGTAGGATGCGGTTCAATAAACAGCTGTCTTCTATCATTAGCGCAAGGATGGGGAAGCAAGGAAGAGGGTCTGGGGTTATACTCATGTGTTATGTTAAATGAAAGAACCCAAGATGAAGGTCTAACCCTGTTTCCATCTGATGTACAAACCGAAAACGACAATTCTCAAAACCGTGTGGGGTCCACTCTCTATTTTGAGTTGCATGGTGGTGATGCTACATCTACCAGCACAAGTGTTATTCACATCCCTGATCTTCACTTGCGTAAGGAGGATGATTTGTCTTTGATGAAGCTGTTGATTGAGCAGTATAGTGTGCTCCCTGAGCACAGGTTCTCATTGCTGACTAGGGTTAGATATGCTCACGCGTTTCGTTCTCCAAGAATCTGCAGGCTATACAGCAAGATATGCCTTCTTGCTTTTATAGTTCTTGTTCAGTCAAGTGATTCACATGATGAGCTGGTGTCCTTTTTTGCTAATGAGCCGGAGTATACAAATGAGCTGATCAGACTAGTGAAATCTGAAGATACGATACCTGGAACAATTCGTACGCTTGCAATGCATGCTCTAGGATCCCAGCTGGCTGCATATTCATCTTCTCATGAAAGGGCACGCATTCTGAGTGGTTCAAGCATCAGTTTTGCTGGTGGAAACCGCATGATTCTTCTTAACGTGCTGCAAAGGGCGATTTCGTCTTTGAGCAACTCTAGTGATCCCTCGTCCATCGCATTCGTTGAGGCACTTCTTCAGTTCTATTTGCTTCATGTCATATCCACATCAAGTTCCGGGAGTGTTATACGGGGATCAGGAATGGTTCCGACTTTTTTACCTCTTTTAGAGGACTCGGATCCTTCGCACATGCATCTCGTCTGTTTAGCTGTGAAGACACTGCAAAAGCTCATGGATTACAGCAATTCGGCTGTGACTCTGTTTAAAGATTTGGGAGGGGTAGAGCTTCTAACCAACAGATTGCAGATAGAAGTAGGTAGGGTGATTGGTTCAGAAATAGGAGATGACAATACTTCGATGAGCATCGGGGAGTCCTCAAACACTAATGTTGACTGGCTGTATTCTCAGAAGCGGCTCATTAGGGTTTTATTGAAAGCACTTGGCTCTGCTACTTACGCCCCAGCAAATTCTACAAGACCTCAAGGGGGTCATGATGTTTCGTTGCCTGCCACTCTTTCCATGATCTTTGGAAATGTGGATAAGTTTGGAGGTGATATCTATTCCGCAGCTGTCACTGTCATGAGTGAAATGATCCATAAAGACCCCACCTGTTATGCTTCGTTGGATGAATTAGGCCTTCCAGACGCGTTTCTAGAGTCGGTGAAAGCTGGAGTTGTACCTTCTTCAAAAGCTCTTACTTGTGTTCCCAATGGTATTGGGGCTATCTGTCTTAACACCAAAGGCCTAGAGTCTGTTAGAGAAACTTCAGCATTGAAGTTTCTGGTTGATATTTTCACCGATAAGAAATATGTACTTGCAATGAATGATGGAATTGTGCCTTTGGCGAATGCTGTTGAGGAGCTTTTGCGTCATGTTGCTTCACTCAGAGGTACCGGTGTAGACATGATCATTCAGATTGTTAATAAAATTGCTTCCATTGAGGATGGTAAGGGCAGAGGAAAACTGGGGAAAGTTAACAATGAGAGTAATTCTATGGATATGGACATGGAAGATAAGGAAAATGTAGGTCCGGTTCTTGTTGCTGCTGCGGATTCGGTTTCTGAAGGAGTTGGTGATGAGCAGTTTATCCAGTTATGCATCTTTCATGTGATGGTCTTGGTTCATAGAACAATGGAGAATGCTGAAACGTGCAGGCTGTTTGTTGAAAAAGAGGGGATCGAAGCTTTGTTGAAGCTTTTGTTAAGACCAAGTATAACACAGTCATCAGAAGGGATGTCGATTGCTTTGCATAGCACCATGGTTTTCAAGAGTTTTACGCAACATCACTCTGCTCCATTAGCACGTGCCTTTTGTTCTGCTCTTCGTGATTATCTCAAGACAACTCTGACAGGATTTGGTGTTCTTTCTGGATCCTTTCTGCTCGACCCCAAAGCGACTCCAGATGCTGGAGTTTTCCCTTCGCTTTTTCTTGTTGAATTCCTTCTGTTTCTTGCTGCTTCTAAAGACAACCGATGGGTCACGGCATTGCTTCAAGAATTTGGAAACGATAGCAAGGATGTTTTAGAAGATATCGGGCGTACTCACCGTGAGATTTTATGGCAGATTGCACTGCTTGAAGATGCCAAATTTGAAACCGATGATGACAGTGACAGATCAAGACCCTCCGAATCCAATGCATCAGAATCCGAGGAGCAAAGATTCAATTCCTTCAGGCAGTTTCTTGATCCTTTATTGAGAAGAAGGATGTCCGGATGGAGTTTCGAATCCCAGTTTTTTGATTTGATCACTCTGTATCGCGATCTTACCCACGCGTCTGGTGTTCCACAACGAACAGATGGTCCTTCAGCCCTACATCTTGGAGGGGTTCACCAATCAGATGTTGCTAGTGCCAGTGTTGGTTCAAGGGAAGTTGACAAGCATAGATCCTATTATTCTTCTTGTTGTGATATGATGAGGTCACTCTCTCTGCACATCACACATCTGTTCCAAGAGCTTGGGAAAGCAATGTTGCTTCCTTCCAGAAGACGAGATGACATGGTGACAGTTTCGCCTGCTTCAAGATCAGTGGCTTCTACATTTGCTTCCATCACATTGGATCACATGAACTTTGAAGGTCACATGAAGCCTTCTGGATCGGTATCATCCTGGTCACCAAAGTGTCGTTACCTGGGCAAGGTCATAGACTTCATCGATGGGATTCTCCTGGAAAAGCCTGACACCTGCAACCCTGTTCTATTGAATTGTTTATATGGTCGTGGTGTGCTTCAGTCGGTTCTCACCACATTTGAAGCTACCAGTGAGTTGCTATTCACAGTCAACAGGACGCCTGCATCTCCAATGGATACCGATGAAGGAACTCCAAAGCATGAATCAGAAGAAACAGTTCGTTCGTGGATCGATGGTCCTTTAGCCAGTTATGGCAAACTCATGGATCATCTGGTCACATCATCTTTTATTCTGTCGCCATTCACGAAACATTTTCTTACACAGCCCCTTGTAACTGGCGATATTGCTTTTCCACGTGATGCGGAAGTTTTCGTGAAGGTTCTTCAATCCATGATTCTGAAAGCTGTTCTCCCTGTATGGACACATCAACAATTCACCGACTGTAGTGACGATTTCATTGCTACCTTGATATCTATTATTCGTCATGTTTTCTCTGGGGTTGAAGTTAGAAGTGTAAGCAGTACAGGATCACGTCCCTCTGGTCCTCCCCCAAATGAAACAACTATATCCACAATTGTAGAAATGGGATTTTCCAGAGCTCGAGCAGAGGAGGCTCTGAGACAGGTGGGGTCAAACAGCGTGGAGTTGGCAATGGAGTGGCTGTTCTCACATCCAGAAGAAGTTCAAGAAGATGATGAACTTGCTCGTGCACTTGCTATGTCTCTTGGTAATTCTGGAACAGACACAAAAGAAGCTACTACAAATGAAAGTAGTCAACAGATTGAAGAGGAAACCGTGCAGCTGCCCCCTGTTGATGACCTGCTGTCTACTTGCAAAAAGCTTCTAGAAATGAAGGATTCTCTTGCCTTTCCGGTTCGGGATCTTCTTGCAATGATATGCTCTCAAGATGAAGGTCGATACAGGTCCAATGTTATATCGTTTATTCTAGAACAGGTGAAGCTTTGCAGTGCCAATGCTGATGGTGGAAAGAACAACATGCTATCCTCCCTCTTTCATGTCCTCGCTTTGATTCTTAACGAGGATAAGGATGCAAGAGAAGTTGCTTCCAAGAGTGGTCTGGTTAAGGTTGCAGCAGATCTTTTGTCGGAGTGGAACTCCAATGAGAAACTGATTGTTCCTAAATGGGTGACAGCCGCTTTTCTTGCTATCGACAGGCTGGCGCAGGTTGATCAAAAGTTGAATGCTGATATTTCAGAGTTGTTGAAGAAAGAGGATGTGGGCAACCAGAATTCTGTTGTTGTGATCGATGAGGACAAGCAAAATAAGTCCATGGGATTATCCTCAAAGCATATTGATGTGGATGAACAGAAGAGGTTTGTTGAGATATCATGTGGGTATTTAACGAAGCAGCTTCCTGCTGAAACGATCCATGCTGTTCTGCAACTCTGCTCTACACTTACAAGAACTCACTCTGTTGCTGTTAGCTTTTTAGATGCTGGGGGTTTGCCTTTGCTGTTATCTTTGCCTACAAGCAGTCTGTTTGTTGGGTTTGATAATGTTGCTGCTACTATTATTCGCCATATTCTTGAAGATCCACAGACTCTCCAACAGGCCATGGAAAGTGAAATCCGCCATAGTATTCTGACAGCTGCCAACCGACAGTCTAACGGAAGGCTCACACCCCGTAATTTTTTGTTAAATCTGACTTCTGTCATCTCAAGGGATCCTGTGGTTTTTATGCGGGCTGCACGATCTGTGTGCCAAATTGAAATGGTTGGTGAGCGGCCGTATGTTGTCTTGCTAAAAGACCGTGAGAAGGATAAGGTTAAAGAAAAAGAGAAGGAGAAAGATAAAGAGAGAGGAGAAGAAAAAGATAAGCCACAAACTCCTCAAACTGATGGTAAGTTGACATTGGGTAATGCCAAACTACCCGAGGGAAATGCTAAGAATGCAAAAGTTCATCGGAAGCCTCCTCAAAGTTTTGTTACAGTAATTGAGCTGCTTTTGGAATCAGTTATTACTTTTGTACCTCCTCCAGAAGACAAGGCAGAGGGTTCTTCGGTGGCTGATATGGAAATTGATGTTGCTTTAAGTAAGAGTAAGGGAAAAGCTATTGCCTCAGCAACCGAAGAGAACGGAGATAATGGCCAGGAATCATCTGCATCTTTGGCTAAGGTTGTATTCATATTGAAGCTCTTGAAGGAAATTCTGTTAATGTATGGTCCATCTGTTCATGTTCTGTTACGAAAAGATGCTGAAGTTAGCAGCAGTCATGGTCATGGTGGGGGCATATTTCACCACATTCTTTGTAAGTTTCTTCCTCACCTGAGGAGTTCCAAAAGGGAAAAGAAGTCGGATGCAGACTGGAGGCACAAGCTAGCAGGCAGAGCCAGCCAGTTGTTGGTGGCTGCTTGCGTGCGTTCCACAGAAGCAAGGAAGAGAATATTCATAGAGATCAATAACGCCTTCAGTGATTTTGTTGATAGTTGTAAAGTTCACAGGCCTCCTGGAAATGATATCCAGGCTTTTGTTGATCTGCTTGGTGATGTACTGGCTGCCCGCTCGCCTACCGGCTCTTCAATTTCAGGAGAAGCTTCTGTTACGTTTATCGATGTGGGTCTTGTGAGATTGCTTACACGGACTCTTCAAATGTTGGATCTGGATCATGCTGATTCCATAAAGATTGTACCAGGGCTTGTAAAGGTTCTGGAGTTGGTCACCAAAGAACATGTTCATGCTGCTGAGGCTAATACCACAAAGGGTGAGAATTCAACAAAAGCTCCTGATCATGGCCAACCTGGGGGAACGGATCATACTGGTGATATAGATACATCTCAGTCCACAGAAACTGCAGCTTTACCTAATTCAAGCTCCGCACCTACTGAAGTTGCTGAGGGCTTTAGCACTGTTCAAACCTATGGCGGATCTGAGGCGGTTACTGATGACATGGAACATGATCAGGATATTGACGGAGGCTTCGCCCCTCCAAGCGAAGATGATTACATGCATGAAAATTCTGAGGATGCAAGGGGACTTGAAAATGGACTTGGTTCTGTTGGAATACGATTTGAAATCCAACCTGATATTCGTGAGAGCCTTGATGAAGATGACGAGGATATGTCGGGTGATGAAGGAGATGAGGTTGATGAGGATGAAGATGACGGACACAATGATCTGGAAGAAGATGAAGTCCATCACTTGCCGCATCCAGACACCGATCAAGATGATCATGAAATTGAAGATGAGTTTGACGAGGACATGATCGAGGAAGAAGATGAAGACGACGAAGACGATGATGGTGGAGTTATACTAAGATTGGGTGAGGGAATGAATGGCATAAATGTATTGGACCATATTGAGGTATTTGGTAGAGACCATAGTTTTTCCAACGATACCCTCCATGTGATGCCTGTTGAAGTATTTGGTTCCAGACGCCAAGGCCGGACCACATCCATCTATAATCTTTTGGGGAGATCAGGTGATAGCTCTGTTGCGTCTCAGCATCCTCTTCTAATGGAGCCTTCTTCATCACGTGCAGTCTCTTCCAGACAAGCAGGTAACTTTCTTTCATTCTCTGTCTCAATCCCTTCTCTTGTCTGCTAAGTAAGTTGGTTTTTTGTGTTTGTAGATAATGGTCGTGATGGGCACATTGAAAGAAATTTAGAGTCATCCTCGTCGCGGTTAGATTCGATTTTCAGGTCTTTGAGGAACGGCCGCCATGGACAGCATGGACACCGTCTTAGCATGTGGAATGATGACCAGCAAAGCGGTGGGTCCAACGCATCCAGCATCCCTGTAGGCCTTGAAGATTTGTTGGTTTCTCATTTGAGGCGTCCGACTCCTGAGAAGCCCTCTGATCAAGACAAAGTGGAGGAGGGTCAGCAGACGAAAAACGAGTCCCAAGAATCACCTGGGATGGTGCCTGAAACTGAAACCGAAACTGCTGGTGAAAGCAGCAGCGGTACTGGTAATGATGATCAACTTCCTCCTCCTCCTCCTCCTCCTCCTCCTTTGAATGGCTCTGGAAGCACACCTGCAGTAGATGATGAATCTCAAGAAGGGGGCACAGATGCAACTTTGGGACAGCCTCATGATATGCAGTTTGAGAACAACGATAGTGGTGTGCGGGATGTCGAGGCTGTGAGCCAAGAAAGCAGTGGAAGTGGAGCTACATTAGGAGAAAGCCTTCGGAGTTTGGATGTTGAAATTGGAAGCGCTGATGGCCATGACGATGGTCCCACAAGGAGAACAAATGTATCAATAAACGCGAGAGATGCATCCCTTCATAGTGTAACAGAAGTTAGTCAAGAAACAGACCAAAGTGATCCTGCTGAGGATGCACCACGTGATGCTGCTGCTGCTGGTTCTGCACCAATCGACCCTGCATTTCTGGATGCGCTTCCTGAAGAGCTACGAGCTGAGGTTCTTTCAGGCCGACAGGGACCGGTGGCGCCACAGCCACCTGCAACCAGCGAACCACCAAACGATGGAGACATAGACCCTGAGTTCCTTGCAGCACTTCCTCCAGACATCCGGGCAGAAGTTTTGGCACAGCAACAAGCACAAGGTGCTCACCGAGCCCAAGAATTGGAAGGTCAACCCGTGGAGATGGATACTGTATCCATAATAGCCACATTCCCTTCAGAACTAAGGGAAGAGGTATGTTTTCTCTTCCTGTAATCTTAGTTTCTTGTTATCATCTATTTGATCTTTTGGTTTGTTCATATATATGTTCAGGTTCTTTTAACTTCATCTGATGCGGTTCTTGCTAATCTGACACCTGCTCTTGTTGCGGAGGCAAATATGTTGCGAGAGAGGTTTGCACGTCGTTACAATCGGACACTTTTTGGTATGTTCCCAAGAAGCAGGAGGGGTGAGTCTTCTAGAAGAGGGGAAGGAGCTGGATCCAGCATGGATAGAAGTGGTGGGATCATTACCCGTAGGTCAAGTGGAAGTAAGCCTGTTGAAACTGATGGAGCTCCTCTAGTTGACCAAGAAGATCTTAAAGCAATGATTCGGTTGCTTCGTGTAGTTCAGGTCACAGTTTGTTTGTTACTTACACCCGTATTCATACATGCTAAACATTCTCTCTAAAGCTTTTGTTGTTTGTTTTTGCCACAGCCACTATATAAACCTCAGCTCCAGAGACTGCTCTTGAATTTGTGTGCTCATGGTGACACCCGTTCTTCTGTGGTAAAGATATTGATGGACCTATTGTTGCTTGATATAAGAAAGCCTGGAAATAACTTGAATGCTTCCGAGCCATCATATAGACTTTATGCATGCCAAAGTCATGTCATGTATTCTCGTCCTCAGTGCTTTGATGGTAAGGATCTTATCATTCATTGATGATGTCAATGGCATCTGTATTTGTATTCTTTGAAGCTAAAATCAATCCTACTCTTTTTTCTAGGGGTCCCTCCATTGGTGTCACGCCGTGTTCTAGAAACTTTGACGTATTTGGCCAGGAATCATACATTTGTTGCAAAACTTTTGCTTCAGTTCAGATTCCCTCCGGAGTCCCATACTCCTTCTGATAAGTCTCATGGAAAAGCCATCATGGTTGTTGAAGATAATGAAACAGAAAAGCAGCAGGGGGATTTCTTGGCCATAACAATGCTGTTGAGCCTCTTGAATCAACCGCTTTATTTGAGAAGTATTGCACATCTTGAGCAGGTAGAATTTGCACAGTCGATACATCTTTTGGTAAAATCTTCGATACATAATTTTTTTTTTTTTACTAAAAAGTGTTTGTGTTTCAGCTGCTGAACTTGTTAGATGTGATCATTGACAATGCGGAAAGCAAGCAAGCTCCTGCTCCCGTATCTGTTCCTGAAGAATCACCTGCTCAGATGTCCACATTAAATGCTGATGATGCTGGTGGCTCAGGCTCAAATACCAAATCACCCAAAGCGGATCATGTCTCTAAGCCCTCATCTTCTGGTGCTAATACAGAATATGACTCCCACACTGTGCTGCTAAGTTTGCCACAAGCAGAGCTGCGGCTTCTATGCTCATTGCTTGCACGTGAATGGTATGTGATCATTTCTTCACTTTGCTCATACATAATATATATACGGGAACTTGTTGTATTAAACTATAAAGCTTGTTGTTTTAGTTTGTCGGATAATGCATACGCTCTTGTGGCGGAAGTACTGAAGAAGCTGGTGACAATCGCACCACATCACTGTCATTTATTCATAACAGAGCTAGCTGGAGCCATGAAGAATCTTACAACATCTGCTATGGATGAATTACGCCGATTCGGTGAAATTGAGAAAGCACTTATTACAACTACTGCTTCAGATGGAGCAGCAATTTTAAGGGTGATACAGGCATTAAGCTCACTTGTTACTTCACTTAATAATCAAGAGAAAGACGAGACAGTTGCTGAAACGGATCAAGCTGCGGCCCTTTCTCTTGTTGGGAACATAAATGCAGCTTTAGAGCCTTTGTGGACAGAGTTGAGCACATGCATAAGCAAAATAGAAAGCTATTCAGATGCGTCTTCACCTTCAGCTTCGCCTTCTTCAGCGGATATGTCGGAGTCATTGACATCAAGACCTTCGGGTGCAATGCCTCCACTTCCAGCTGGCACTCAGAACATCTTGCCATATATCGAGTCTTTCTTTGTTATGTGTGAGAAGCTGCACCCTGGGAGTCCACAGGATTTCGGTATTATGGAAGAGGCGACGACTTCAAAAGTTGATGAGAAGCATGTGGTGTTTGTCAAGTTCTCAGAGAAGCATAGGAAGCTTCTGAATGCATTCATCCGCCAAAACCCTGGACTGCTTGAAAAATCCTTCTCCCTTATGCTGAAGGTCCCCCGTTTTATTGATTTCGACAACAAGCGGTCTCATTTTAGATCAAAAATCAAACATCAACATGATCACCATCACAGTCCTTTGAGAATCTCTGTAAGACGCGCATACATACTTGAAGATTCATATAATCAGCTGCGGATGAGATCCACGCAAGATCTCAAGGGTAGGCTGACTGTTCACTTCCAAGGAGAAGAAGGGATTGATGCAGGTGGACTTACAAGGGAATGGTATCAGCTTTTATCAAGGGTTATTTTCGACAAGGGAGCTCTGCTGTTTACAACTGTTGGCAACGACTCAACATTCCAGCCAAACCCTAATTCCGTTTATCAGACAGAACATCTCTCATACTTCAAGTTTGTTGGAAGAGTGGTAAGTTGTTGCTATTTGTTTTTCGTTGTTGTTCTTTCTGTATGTAGCTTATGGATTTGTGTTGTGTTGTAGGTTGGGAAAGCACTGTTTGATGGTCAGTTGCTTGATGTTCATTTCACAAGATCGTTCTACAAGCACATCCTCGGTGTGAAAGTGACATACCATGATATTGAAGCCATTGATCCGGGTTACTTCAAGAACTTGAAGTGGATGCTAGAGGTATATATAACATTTGAGGAAATAGTAGATATATTATTGAACAAGTTGTGTTGGTTTTTTGTGCAGAATGATATCAGTGATATTCTGGATCTAACATTTAGTATCGATGCGGATGAAGAAAAGCTGATATTGTGCGAAAGAACAGAGGTAAAAGAGAAGTTAGGTTTTAGAATGTAATGTTAATGGATTTATGAATGATATATGATATATATAATAATAGGTGACGGATTACGAGCTGATCCCTGGTGGAAGAAATATTCGAGTGACGGAGGAAAACAAACATAAATACGTGGATTTGATTGCGGAGCATAGATTAACGACAGCCATACGCCCTCAAATCAATGCTTTCTTGGAAGGTTTTACGGAGTTGATTCCCCGCGACTTGATATCCATCTTTCATGATAAGGAGTTGGAGCTCTTGATTAGTGGCCTTCCAGATATTGACTGTAAGACTTTTTCTTTCTTCATTCTATTTCCAACTAACAAACCATAAACATGCATGTTTAATATGGTTGTTTTTCAGTGGATGACATGAAGGCCAATACAGAGTATTCTGGGTATAGTGCTGCATCTCCGGTTATCCAGTGGTTTTGGGAGGTTGCTCAAGCTTTCAGCAAAGAAGACAAAGCCCGTCTCTTGCAATTTGTCACTGGTACCTCAAAGGTATATTCATATTTTGGCAACAACTTAAATAATAAATGGATTCAGTGCCTAATCATTCTATATATATATATATATATATATATATATATATATATATATATATATTTTTGTTGTTGTTGTTGTTGTTGCAGGTGCCTTTAGAAGGATTCAGTGCTTTGCAAGGCATCTCTGGATCTCAAAAGTTTCAGATTCACAAAGCATATGGACGACCTGACCATTTGCCCTCAGCTCACACCTGGTAATTTTTCTTGATACAAATTCACGTGATTTTAAATTATCTTAATCCCACATATAATAAAATGTTTTTTTGGTGGATATGCAGTTTCAATCAGTTGGATTTACCAGAATATCCTTCCAAGGAGCATCTGGAGGAGAGGCTGCTGCTTGCAATTCATGAAGCCAATGAAGGATTTGGTTTTGGTTAAAAGAGATAAGAGATGTAGATAAAAAAAATTTTCATGTCCTTTTCAACACGGGATTCAAGCAGTGTTGATATACTTACTTGCTTATTGTACAGTTTCGGTTTGTTAAAATTGAAACTTGTTCTTAATTAATTAATTTCCTTGGTTGGGTTGCTGCCAATTAATTATATCATGTTATCTTTAGATTACAAGTTGGATGGAAGGATTTTTGCTAAAATTGTATATTGGACAACGGCTTTAGAAATTGCATATTAGTGATTTCAGCAAATCTATTTGTTTATCAATTATCATGTCAACGTTCATCCCAAATCTACTCTTTCTTGTTTATTATTCTCTATTCTACAGACTTGTCTTATTGCTTTGTACAGTGGATGGCTATCGGAATGTTTGCTTATGTGTTCTATACAATATTTGTTTTAGTTTGAGTCATGCAACTGGTTATATAAATGGCTAACCGGGTCAACAATTTTCAAACATTTCTACAATGGCTCATTTCGGACCCAACCTAGCTTTAGTGGTCCCTACTATTTTATACATTGTTTCTACCCATCATATGTTGGAGTTGCATCTCACAGATGTTATGATTGTTGACGAAAGTTGTTTCTGAGGGTCAAGTGGTTGTGCGATTTTGGTATTATGTTCTTCTCTCTACATTATATGTTTTGTTAACATTTTATGGACTTACTGTAAAATTGTAAGCTGGAATAGGAAAAAATGTCTGTAGCAGGAAGAATGAACTTAGGGCAAAAATACGTAGTTGTTGAATAATCATTATTAGTTAAGCTTACTTAGCATTAATATCATTGGTAGGTAGCATTATTTTGCTACAAATGTGTGTCCAAACACTAAGAGCTTGTCTGAGTTATAAACAACCGATTCAAAATATGCAGAACTATGTTTGCTTACTGCCTCCAACATATTTTATGATGAGTGTATACGAACATGTATTGATGACTTGTAAACCTGATCAAAAACACAATTTTTTTTTGCTTGGAACACCATAATCAAAGCTTGTTCTCAAAGCAGTAAACGAAAACAAGAAGCAGCTATTCACTCCATCTCAAAATGCTATCAGAAGGGGATGTTGCCCCAAATAAGAACACACACGTTTCCATTTCTGCTCAATCAATTGTGATATAATGCAACCTAATCTTTTGATCTATGAAAGAAATCAAACTAAAAGACTAGTTGATTATCTATGAACATGAATAACCATTTTTGTTAAAGTCATTATGTAACGTCCCAAAATTTCAAAGTAAAAATTTCATTTTTAATATAATCAAAACACCAATTATCTTTTACTCAAACATTTAGAAGTCATTCATAATAAAACGGTTATCAGAGCACAATCTCAAAATCACAAAGTTGAGGAAAAACATGAGCGTATACGCTGCAATTAAGCTGGACCTTCCTTTTTGAACCGGAAGTACCTGAAACCATAAACAATAAACCGTAAACACCAAGCTTAGTGAGTTTCCCAAAATACCACATACCATACATACAATAGATAATGCTATGTTCCAGTCATAGTCTTGCCATTATGCTACGGGCCATATCATGATCTTTCCTTGCCAAGCCGAGGCCAAAACCCTAAGTATTACAGACAAATGCCAAGAGCCACCTCCTGGTCTTCCATGCAATAATCACATAGACAACCAGCATATAATTTGCAACTAACTATCTACTTAACTGTCAGCGTTTGAACCGTGGTCTTGCATATAGATTTGCCAGTAGCCACCTCTGGGCCTTTCATACAAATGCCAAGGGCCACCCCTTGGTCTTCCAATTATACACGAGCCAATCGGTTGACATTGGTGCCTTCGATCCGTAGTACAGTGATGTACTCACCTCAATCCAAGATAACCGAACACTCGAGCTGTTGTTACCAGAATCCTCGCACTAACATCATCAAATAACATTCCATCAATAGCTGATTCTTGACTCAATTAAGAATTCTAGTCTAATGTCCAAACCTTCAGGGTAAAAGTCCATTTACCCCTTTCCTTACTTTGCCAAAATCCAAAGTCCAATCCACTAGCATCATAAGCCCAAATCCCTTAAATGGCATCACAAGGCCCATTAAGGACCAATTTCCAAATTAAGCCCAAAATCATCATCGTGGACCTAACCCAAGAAAGACCAATATGCTAACAAAATCTTAAATTCCGAAGTCCATTAGCCCAACAAAGCCCAAACCCTAAAAGTCCAAAGCATGAACCGAACTGTGAACACAAAGCCCAAAATTCCGCGTACTCAGCTCATACGCTTGGCGTACTCCCTTCGGGGCCAGTACGCGCATCGTACCAAATGTGTACGCCCAACGTACTCCCCAGAACACCATCGTACTCCCTTTAGCACTCAATCAGTTAAGCCCTTGCTCCAAACTCTCATATTTGATCCCTATGGATGACTTATCAGGTAAAGTTGGTAATTTTACTTACGTGCATGGCTTAAAGGGACCCAAAAGCTTAAAAAGAGCTTCACAAAGGTCTTAATACATGCATGGACCACAATACTCCATAAAGTTAGCATTTTTATGAATATGAGGACTAAATTGAGCTAAAATCTAGCATCTATTACTTCTGGAGTAGATCAAAAGGCCACCTTTAACTCAAAAGTCTCCAAAACTGCACACAATACACCAAAACTAGATCTAACACCAAAGACTGTAACGCCCCGTTTATTTAAATAAATTAATAAATGTAAGTATCAGACTAATTTGTGAAGAATTTAGAAGTTGTAGGTTAAAAGTGTAAAATCCGCATTTAATTTATAATTATTATGGAAGGCAGGGACTAAATGGTAATTATTGGGACTTTATTGAAGATATTTTAGAGGCCTAGGGGTTGTTTAGTAAATCAAGTATCAAATTTGAAGGGAATTTCCAAAGCTGGGGTAGAAAAGGTAAATTGCAGGCTTTGGTTTGAAAAGAATTTTATGGAGAGGGACTGATCTTGACATTATGGCATTAAATTTGAAGGGCACGGGTATAAAGCCTTAGCATGTGTCGGTTGCCACAAAACCCTCACCCTAGCTAAGGATGCAGTCGTCACCCACCCTTATACCTCCCGTTTACAGTCGCCACCTCTCTATCACCTTATGCCTCCCTCATCGGCAACGCCACCCCCATGTTCCGATCAGTGAAGGGCCACCAAGCAAACGCCGAGCCTCCACCGTTCTTCTTCTCTTTCTCCTTCTTTATCCGCCGAAGGGAAAGCTATCCAGCTGCCGTTGTGCTGTAGAGCCCGCTGCCGCCGCTCCGTCACCATCGAACCACCATAACATCGTTACCGGAGACACCGGCGAAGACGATCAGTTAGCTTCCGACGCTGAATCAGTTGTAAGGAACCGAAAGATCGACGCTTGCTAGGAGTTGTTGTGATTCGAGATTGGATCGCTACTTCCTTTTTCCGTTTCTTGCTGCCGACGTGCCTTCCCGCTGAAGATAAAGCCACTCCAAGCCACCGACAATTTCGTGGAACGTAAGGACCGATCACCGCCACCACCGTAGGATGGTGGTTGCCATCGCCGAGAGCCACCAGGTGGGTGGCTAAGCCTTGAACGAATCAAAATCACGTATATGGGTTGTTGATGGTGTTGATGTCGGAAAACGGAATAGGTATCCACCATGGCCGCCAGCCATGGTGGCTGCCACCTTCTACTACCATCGGCCACCATAAGGTGGTTGTGTGTGTTTGTTTTGTTGAGTGTGTGTGTGTGTGTTTATTTTGAGTCTTAGCGTTGTAAAGTGTAAATTACAAGTTGGATAATGAAAAGAAAACTAAAAACCACCACCGTGAGGTGGTGGCTGCCGCCACCGGCCGCTGTATCAGGTAGCGGTGTGCTTTGCCTCGTTGTGTTGACTTGTTGGGGGTGCTTGAAACCCTAATGGGCACAAAGCATCCCTAATGGGCCCAATGAAGCCTAATGGGCTTAATGATATTCTAGTGGGCCTAATAGGCCCAATAAAACCTAATTGACCTAAAAGCCCAACAAATTGATAAAATGGGCTAGTAGCTGGGTTGGAAAACCCTAATACCAATAAAACCCTAATTTGGGGAATTAATCAGGACACACGAGAATTATTTAATAACTTGAAATATTAAATAATAATCATTGGCAAAAATTAATCTAAGCAATATTGGACTTAATGGATTAAGTTATTAATGGATTAAGTCCTTAATGGGTTGAGTGAGAAACACTTAACCCTAATCGTCGTTTTATGTGAAACCCTAATTTCACTTGGGTTTATTGTTGGGACTCTCTGTTGGGCTTTGATGATTGGGATAATAATGGGCCATCAAAGAACAAGCTAAGGGGCTAAAATAATTTAATGGGCCTAGAGTAAGGCCCATGTAAGGGGTTTGGGCCCAATTTCGAAAATTGGGCCATAAATGGACTATAGTTTGGGCCTTTATGATTATATGATATTGGCCATTAGAATGTTGAATATTAGATTGGACCAAATGGTTAGGCCTTATGGTAAGACCTTATAAAGGTTTGGGCCCAATTTGGAAAATTGGGCCATGTGTTCGGCTTTGATTTCCTAGTTAAATTTGGGCCTATGGATTGGGCCTTGGGCTTGCATAAAGCCAAGTTTGGGGTAATGTAGTGATTATTCAAATTATGTACTCATGGTAATGTAGTGGAACCCAATTATTAATTGGGTGTTATTTTGGTGTTGACAGTCCGGGAATCTGTCATCCAACAGTTGGGGTTGAGTCTGCGGGACTTCAGCAGTGTGAGATTATGTCTATGGGACTTCAGCAGTGTGAGGTGAGTTACCTTCCAGTAGCGGTGGATCTACGGCCATAATGCCGACCCACCACTAGGAGTTGTATGTTAGATGATTGTCTTTGTGATATTCATCTAGGTTTGCTACTACCTAATATGTTTATGTGCTTGCATGATATGTGTGACATCCCCATTTTCACGACCAGAAAAGATCGATTTTGTTTATGCTTTATAAAAATCAGAGTTCTTCTTTTAATAAAAATGTTGCGGAATTTGTTCCCAGAAAAACACGATAAATTAGTTATTAAAACATTTTCGAAGAAACGTATTTTATTCATTTCAAAACGTTTGGGATGTCATCGTTAATACAGAAACATAAGCATAAACAGAACTTACATGTATTTACACTAGTGATCTACATCTCTTTAAATCTCTCAATGTAATGTGACTTCATATCAACACCTGTGATATAAATAAACTGAGTGGGTCAGGTTGGGAAACCTGGTGAGTACATAGGGTTTTCAACCCACAATAATATAATCATTATGTTTAAACAATCAAACAATCAACCT